CCAGAAGTTGACACAACATTGTAAACTGACTATAACTCAATAAAAAAAAAAAAAGATGGTTGGAAAGATTAGGAAGACTGAGTGGTAGCATTGGTAAAAACAAAGCCATTGATACATGATGTATTAGGGAAATGATCAGTAATCCAGTTTGGTTGGGACATAGGGAATATGAGAATATGGGAAGGAATGGTATGAGTTTTTATCTGGAGACCTCTGTTGAGAGCACTGGGAAAGCCTTGGGTTTTATGGGGAAACTAACAGGGAGCTATTGAAGGTTTTGGAGCTAGGGAGTGAAATGATATATTAATACATGCATTGTAGGATTAAATGAGATAACATATGGAAAGTGCATGGAACAGTGATTTGTAAATGGTAAATACTCGATGAATGTCAGTTATCATAGTTAGACATTTTCTGGAAGAGAAATGAGGTAGGAAGAAATTGAAGTCAGGAAAAAAGTTAAGCTATAGCAATTGTCTAGGTAAGAGATAATAAAGCCCTAAATCTTGCAAGAGACTGTAGGCATGAAAAGGGATTATATTCACATGACATTTTAAAAGGAGGATGAATATAACTTCATCACCAATTGGTGAACCAAGAGGAGTTAGAAGCTTCTAGCCTTGCTGTCAAGGTGGAGAGTAACAGTATAAAAATAATGAAAACGCAGGAAGAGGAGATGGAAGGCAGGTGAGTTTGATGGATCCCTGGGTCTCAAAGATGTCTGTCAACCTGTCAGATATGTGGGTCTCAGATCTAACATGGTGTGGACAGGAGATGTGAGTTTGTGGATCATCAACACAGAGGTGATGATTGACACCATGCAAATGATTTAAATAACCTCCCCTCAAATGTAGAGAAAGAAGAGTAATGAGGAGAGAAATATTGTGACTGCTGATTTTTATTGGGGGTGGACTTTATGCCTAATAAGACTTGAGACTTTCAGAGTATCTCCCTTCCTCACCAATCATGTCATTTTGAGTGCCAAGGGCTATTGAGTATGGGAAAAGCAGAATACAGAGCAAGGCGACATAAATATGTCTAAGCTGAGATAGCATAATCAGTAATAACCATCTTATTACAACAATATAGGTGCTTTAAAAGGATAAAATAGGTGTAGTAAGATCCCACCATAGTGCCCCATCGTGTACTACTAACCTGATCACTGCATACTTTAAATTGTGAAAGTGTTTCTTCATTAAGAGTGAGCTTGAGCTTGACAGTGAGAGGAAACCTCTGTGCAGCTGGGTTTTAAAAGCTGAAATGTCTAAGAACTTCAGAGTGATCATATTCCTTGATTTGTGGCATATGATCATTGGTGATCCATGTCTATTCTTCATTCCATATCCTCCATTTCCAATCTCACTCTCACAAGAGGTACCTACACTCATGTATGTCAAATGTAACGCTGAGTGAGAAAAGTGAGAGGGGGAACGAGATGTAAGGAATGGTGCCACGTATGTTCATTTAAAATAAACTCATAGGAAAAATTCTCTGTATCATTTATGGATAAGTTTATATGCATGTGTGGGGGCCCAAAAATACAGAAACCCTTTGTCACCTTGGAAGACTTTGGGAATTTTACTTTCCAGGGCAGAACTCTTAAGGTGCAGAACACTGGTCGTCAAGCCGCAGCGTGACCAGAAGCTCTGCGGGGCTTGTGGAACACAGATCACTGGGCTTCACACCAGAGTTTCTTATAAAGTCCAAGGTGGGGCCTGATGATTTGCATTTCTGACCAGTTCCCAGTGGCGCTCATGCTGCTGATCTGGGCTGGTCCACACTTTGCAACCATAGTTACAGGGAAAGGGG